AATCGCCATTGTCTCAGCTCGTTCAGCAGAGAGGAGGGCTTGGCTGTGGCAACACGCTTCCTCTTCCCAGTGTGGGAGCTGAGGGAGCCTTTCTGCGACGGATTCGGCACGGACTGACCCGGGTGACTTCACCCACCCGCCCGTGGGGTCCATCCCGGCGTGGCACAGGAGAGCACAGAAAAACGCCGTGGCTTTGCTGTCACATAAACCTGCACGTGGGATTATTAACTCCACTCCAAATCGGGGTTACAGTGGCCAGACTGTTTGGCAGAGAGAAACTGGCTGGCGGGTTCCCGTCTCTGTGCCCTAATCTTACCTACTCAAACCTAACTTTGCCAAGCAAGGGTTATTTCACTGAGTGATGGGATCATGTCAAGCTTATTTCTGTAAGGCGAACGTGGCGTTGCCTTGTACAATACAAACAGGGCATGAATTAGGAGAATATTATTATTATTAGAATTCTATTTATGCTATTTTTCTAATCTAATATCTTGTTTACAGGGGGATTTTGAACAGTTCCAGCCCTCAACAAAAGCGATTAGTAGAGGCACACCAAGGCCATGCACGGGTTTAGACAAATAAACCATACTCAGTGTCAACATCTTTTGTGATAGGACTGATGCAGACAGGATCTGCTGGCAGCTATGCCATGGTTTGTAAGTCATCTCCCAAGCTGAACGTGTCACCTCTGCCAGGTAACCACCTCCAGCACAGGGAAGTGTCAGCGTCATGGCTTGGCTGCATGTCAGGCTCAATCTGACTGTTCATGGCTCTCTCCCTTTACCAGCTGTTCCCTGGTGCCAGCAGTGAGCCAAGGATTAGGTGGTAACAGTTTTGTAAACTGCCATGGCAAGACTTGCCCCTCAGCTTCTGTAGTTCCAGTAAAGAATAAGCTCTTCTGATACAAATTGCAGATTTTGTTCTCCAACAGGGGTTTGGTTGTGCTAGGGCAGGTGAGGCTGGGCCAGAAGACTTTTGCAGACAGCTGCTCAGCTTTTCTAAAAAAGGAGGGCAGAGCTTGATGCTGGAAAGGAGAGCTCCTGAAATGCAGAGCCAAGCTAGTTCCCTGAGAAATACTGCCCTTAATTTCAGTGAGGTATCACTGTTAATATGTTGGTATAATCTGTCATCTGATTTTGCAGTGTCACTGGTAATAAAGTTTCATATTGCCTATGTTATCTGTTAATTCAAAAGGAGCAAAGTTTGAGGACGCTGCTGAAGAGCCCAGACCTGCACACAGCTGCATTTCAACAGCTGAAGTTCCAGCACTGTCCTGGCTTTATATTGAGGTAGGGCTTGTGGTGATGCAGCTGCCTTCCTGCTCAGTACCACACACCCATCCTTGCATTCCTCTGTAACTCCCCAGTAATTTGCACTTTCAGGTTGTAGAAATGTTCTGGAACATGTGATGTGTACACTATGACTGGAAGGCTGGCTGCTTTGTGGTTCTGGCAAAAAACTGGGCTGACTCCTGTAAAAACAGTGCACTGACACCTTCAAAGGTACACATAGAGGTGTTGCATCTTGTCTCCATCTCCTCTCATTCCCTCTGCTCCTCTTTGACTCTTTCTTCTGCCTTCTCCCAAGCCACTGTCGTTTTCATTTCCTTCCCTGCTGCCTTGGACATTTGATCTAGACTCACAAATGTGTCAGAGTTCTTCTCCTTACACTTTTCAAAGCCTGTTTTTCCACCTTTGTTCTGTAGACACAGATCTGAAACCAGTGTAACTTCCTGTTGCTGGAGCATCAAAGATAAACAAATTCAAGATACAGTAAAAAAAATAAATACTGTTCAGACTTGTTTACTTTGAATGAAAACAAGAACATTCATATCATGAAGCTTGACTGAGTGGAACCAGGGTAAGAATGCCCCAACCATCATGACAGTGGTGATGAAACTGGAAGATTTTTTACTGGAAGTCAGTGTTTATTAAGGAGAGCACTAAATTACTCAGCACAGGTATTGTTAGAGCAGTCCTGACCAATAACATATTTTTAGTACCAGTGACTCTTGTTGAACTCATCTCTGTAATTGTTTTTGATGATAGAATGAATCAGAGTGCTCTAAAAACATGGCAATAAAATAAAGCCCTAATTATGGACCAAGGAACCATTAAGTCTAAATCCTAAAAATTGGCATTCAGTATACAAGATTAAGGAAGCAAAAACCATGTTAGTTTGGTTACTCATATTTACAAAGTAAGGAAAACCAGATCCTTCAAATACCTTAAGTAGTTTTGATTTTAAATGTTCTTAAGACTAGAAATATGTCATTGTGCACTCAGCCAGAAATGCATTTTAATAAATGAGTCAGGGTTACAAGAAGGATGAAAGAACTTTTCTTACTGAATGCATCCCTGTTTTGGGGCCCAGTCATGTAGTGTGCTTGGAAGGAGCAACATGCTGAACATGAACAGCCAAGGGTTGATTAATAAGACATTTAACCTATTATTTTTTCATGGGACAAAGAGACTTTAGTTCTGTAAGGTATTTGTAAAATGGGTTTTCAAAATGAACCAGGCAATCCCAGTCTGATACCCAGCAGGCACCCATTTGGTACCACATAGGTGTTTGCATAGCAAATCTGTTACTCATTACAATTCTTGACACTCAGGAATACATGAGCTGTGTGGTTTGCCCTTATTATTTTTAGGTCAAATTGTGCCCATGTACAATCTCCTGCCCACCCTTCACAAGCACTGTCTGCTTGTCTGGAGGTGGAGGAGTTTGATGAGCATTGAACTGTCACATAAAGACATACTGAATTCTGAAAGAGACATTGAATATCTGTATAGGATTATGCAAAGAGGGACACAGAAACAGGGTCTGTAGTTTTCCCTGCATTGCAAAATTGTCCTGGGTTGTACAAATCCATCAAATGAATAGGCAGGCTCTGAAAACTTCCTTTTCCCCACCCAAGATGAAAAATGGAATTGCCACTGGGATGCCAGAGGTGAATGAGATTCTGTCAGGAGGTTATATTGATAAAAGTAAACATCCTGCACAAAAGCTGAGTTTCTTTTGGCTGCTTTGCACAGATGAGTTCTTATTGCAAGCCTGCACAATAACCAGTCCCCTGATTGGTTAAACAGATAACAGAGCAGCAGTTCCTCAGTTGCCAACGTGGATGTATTAGTGACAAGACACGGCTCATGCTCCCAGCTGCTCACTTTTTGGAGCTGGCAGTGTGATGGGCTGGCTTCAGGGGCAGAGAGCAGGACACCATGGCTCAGGGAGCCAGTTAAATGCAGTGGGGAGGGAGCAGAGCAGCACAGCCTTAATGGGGCACAGGAAATGGGTTTGGCACGTGAAACTCCGAACCCACTCTCAATCTAAACTGGAGAGTAAATCAAGCATGTGGGGTAAATAAAGGGGAGAAAAGTACTCTTCTGCTTTCTTTTGACTTCAGAACAAACAGAATATGAGGATTTAGCCTTCTTGTCTTAGGGATGTGCATGATAATGGAGGAAGGTGGTGGTTTGAGAAAGGTTTGATTTAGAAGCTTTAGTGGTAAAGCTCTTTCCTGTTTTTGGATTTAGGGAATACAGGGTTTGGGCTTTGTTAGCATGTTCAAGGACATATGGCAGCAGAACTACCCTGTGAAAAGTTTATGCTTTGTGTCCTGCAGACAGCATGGATATAGCTTTTTTTTTTTCCTTGCTGCAAACTGACCCAGATTTCTGCTTTTATTTGACAGTCTTTTTGAGCATAGTGTGAAGGAGAGGCATTGCTTCTGGAAATGCATGTCAATAGTCTTGTGAAATGAGCGTCTCTCCCTCCCTCAGCCTTCCCCCAATCTAATTAATAAGGTCATCCCACTGAAGGCAGGCTTATAAATAGCTTTCCAAGCACTAATGGAATTAGTTCTGGCCTGGACAACTTTTCCAGGGTGACACAGGTATCGAAGAAAAGCTTGCTCCTTGACATAGACAACCACTTACAGCAGGAAATGCTGAAATGTAAACATTTACCTGATGTCCCAGCTCTTGCTGCCAGCACTAAACCTGAAATGGGATTACAGCATTGCTACTCACATTGTAGAAAGACTTGCAAGTGAAACAAGGGATTTTAGAGGGATGGGCCTTGTATTAGATTACATTATTCTGGATAATGAAATGTCAAATTCTGCTGAAGGTTTCTCTTTTGTCACTATTTCTGAGGAAAGTGTATTTTTCATGTCCCACAAACCCACAAGATTTTGTGAGGATAATAAACAGTTACCATGGGGAATAAAATCGAAGTACTTCCAGTCGATAGGAATCTTTACTGTGACAGCATTTAATGGGAAGGGAATAGCACAGCTATAAACTCTCAAAAGAGAGTCATGATTGAAAATTGACTATTTAAATCATCAGTGAGTGGAGCCACAGAACCCCTTCAAAACCAATGGCTGAATTATTAACATTTAAAATCTGGTGTGAGACTGGAGTTTTATAACGAAAATAAAACCTAAATGCATCACAGAAAATGTAAGCTCTGATTGTTTAAAAAACTTGAACCAAGATGTAAAGAGAATGTATCTGATTCAGGAACTTCAAATCAATAAGCATGAAGCTCCCAAAAACATGTGACAAACATGAAATTATAATATGATTATCTATGTGACTAATGAAATTTAATTACAGTTAAATAATGGAGAAACATTATTTTGCAGTCTGTTCTATTTGTTCTATCTTCACAGTCTGTTCTTCTATTTGGCCTGTCTATTGCAATAATCTTACCATGTATTGCATTTCCAGTAAACAAAAGGACATTTCAAAGATTTCAAAATGCTTATTGGGAAAACCGATGAAGGTCAAATTTTATATTAATTCATCTTTTCTATCAAATTCCTTACTGTCGTATGTTCTGAATATAACCTTCTGCTTAAATGAAGTTGACAGGAGGGCAGGAGGTGCTTCTTCATGTAACTGAGAAAAGATCACTTTTTTAGAGAAGGAGAGAAAAGCAGCACTTTTCAGTCTCTGAAATGGCCTTGGACCAGCTGCACAATTTCTGAGTCATCAGATGAATCAAGTCTGTTAATGACTGCAGAGAACTTTTACTTCAAAAAATGCAGAAGCATCCTGCTTTCAGATATTGATTCTGTAGTGCTTCCTTTGGGAGGCTTTAGTCATAAAGGTGCCAGATTTCAAGGCTTTTTTAGAAATAAAAAATGTGAGAAGGGTTTGGCTTTTAATAATTGTACCATAAAAAAGATGGTGGCCCACAGCCCTTGGAACATCTATCAGTTTCTCTAGCAGAAATCAGTATGGAATCTTGGCTGACAGGCAAAGAGTGAGTTATTAAAGGTAAAATTCACTCATAAAGAGAATTTTATATGAAAGGCCAAATCAGGACAACCTGACTCAGGAGCTAAGCAGCTGCCATTGCCTTCAGCTTCAGACTGGAGAACACCTGAAAAATCACAATTCAGTTTCTTAAACCAAAGGGATAAGAGTCATGAGGATCTGTGTTGTAGCCTGCATTTAGGAAGTCTACAAGAGAGAATAAAGAATTACTCGATTGTAACAGTATATCCTCTCAGTGTCATTAGATCCTAGGAGATGAGGTCTCTCACCCCATCCTCCATGGCCTGCAAAAAAAAGCCCCAGCTGTACCCCATCCTTGGGGGAAAAAAAAGACCATTTTTGCCCTCCCTCATATATAGGATTTTAGCACCCAGAAGTGGAGGCTTCTGAAGATTTTTTTAGCATGTGTTATCCGTGCAGAACTAAATTATTTCTCTTTGGACCCAATATTTTAATATATCCTCAAATTCTTTAACAGAAGTAAATGAAAAATGTTCACCCTTGTACCAAAGCCAAAATAAAGCAGTTCTTTGTTTGAATCCTGGTACAGAGTGGAGCATCTTTAACTGATGTTTATAACATCCGTACACAAAATCTTTTCCCCTCCTTTCTTCTCCCCATCACTGGGATTTTGCTCTGTGAATGTCTACCATCCACTCTTAGTGTGCCAATCACTCTTAATTCCTCATCTTTGACTTCACAATCAATGAAGGGAAATAAGCTGTTACCTAATGGGGCTGACACAAAATCCATTTAAGTTAACGGAAAGACGCTCATTGTTTCCTATCAGCCCTAGGTCAGGCCAGAGTGAACAGAGTGGGTGGAATTTAGCCTGTCATTTGTCGTCTGAGAGGAAATGATTCCTACATCCCACTTGGACTGCTTAGAGATTTTAAACATATTTAGCAAAAGGAAACATTGATTTCTTGTCAGTTGTTAAATGGTTGAAATTTTACTCTGGTTGGATAGTCTCTCAGTTTAAAATGATACTTAGTTCTCTCAATACTAAAAAAAAAAACCCCAAATATAGGAGAGAAAGATCAAGGTGAGTGTAAGTCAGTGAAACTGAAGAGGTGCCTGAGTGCCCTGTGCAGGTCATGAAGCATCATCTGCACAGGAGCTCAGCCCTGCTGGCAGGGCCTGTGCACTCACCCTGCCCTTCCAGCCAGCTAGCTGACAACCTCTCAGTGTTGTTTATTTTAGGTTTCCTAAATGTATTTGGAGAGGGAGAAAACATCTGTATTCCAACGCATAGCGCTGCCTCAGGTCTTCTAGGTTTTGTAAACAGACTTAATAAAATATGAATCCATTTTTCTCTCTTGCTTGCAAGTGTTTAGAAATATCATTCAGAAGCAAAACGAACATGTTCTTTAATATAGCCCAGCAAACATCAGACACACTGTCCCTACTATATCTCCCAGTCTGAATAAGGCTTGTTAGCCTTGGGAAGAGAGAGCAGAGTGCCTGGCAGGGACAAGAGGATCTGAGTGATTGTCTAACTTCCAATTCCCCTGATAAGTTTAGAGACTTTCTGCAGTGTTTCTGCAGACTGTTATTTAAGGACAAAAGTCAAAATGTTCTGTTTCTTGGTTATGGTGTGTTACAAAGAGTAAAGGGAGTTCTGTTTCACCATGTCCCTTCTGAACAGCAGGGAACTCTTGGGATATATCATTTAGTTGCTGATGGCCAGGCCAAGTTGCTGAGAGGTCAGAAGACTTGCAAGAAACAGAGACATCAAGAAGTTTGATTTCAGTGCAAATTTATCTACTCTGCTCCAAACAGTGATTGCAAAACAAGTGTTACTGCTGCTAGCAAGCTTTGTGAGGCCTTGCATCCACCATCCACTTAGTTCTGTCTGTCCTTGAGTTATAAATGAGTTATAAATTGTGTTATCTTCGATGGAAGAGATGAATTTTCAGACAGACTCTGACCTGACTTCTCTTTCTGCTGTGGTGGATGAAAGTCTACAGCTTTCCAGTGATATTACTGAGGAATTGGACTCACAGAAATGAGACTCTGACCCCTCACATAATTGCTGGAAGGACTAAAGGGGAAAAAAAATCCCTAATACTTGGGAAGTTTTTAGGAGCCATTTGGTAAGCAATCGGGTGAACAACAATCCAGAGGGGGCACAGAAGTCCCTCAATATGTTTTTAAAATTCCTCAGACAGCAAATTCCTGTCCTCCAGATTCCTGGATCTTGAGGCTCAGTGCAATATTTGTAAGGAGAGGCTGGTTGAACAAAATCAAGAAATAAACAGAGAATGCCCCTGATGAAGAGCTGAAATAGAGATTTTTGTGGGCACAGATCATGTTTTTCCAGAAACTGTTCCTTCCCAGGGGCTGTAACGCCTGAGCTGCTTCTGGTTGCCCACAGAGGGGAGTGGGGAGCCTCACCAGGGCCTAACCTTGTTCTGCTGCACTGGGTGTTACAACCTCTTATCTCTTGCTTGTGGGGGCCAAATTGCAAGGCCACATTTTTGGGAGCAGAACCCAGAGCCTTGGAGGAAGGCCATGCCTTCAATCTCTGTTTCCTCAGTCGCTTCCCCAGCGCTGGGGCCATGGTGCTGGCAGGGGATCAAAGCCCAGGAATTCTGTGCTGTGCTCCTGCTGTTCCTCCTGCCTGGGGTCACAGCACTCTCCTCCTTTCTGTATGGTTTCAGCAGGATCAGTCTTATAAATGACAGGGCAAGATGCAGCCCTGGTGTGAGAGTGGGGCTGGGGAGGGCGTAGGGCTGCAGTGTCCCAGACAAACCAGCGTGGTGGCATCTGTGCCCTGTCCTGCTGCTACCAACTGCCCAAGGCTCATTTCAAACAGCCTCACACCTGACAGAAGTAGGAATGGTGGTTTCTGAACTGCCTCCAATTCTTTGGAACTTTACAGGAGTCTTGTAATAGCATTTTGCTTAATTCTAGAAAACAACCCCAAAGATATTAGCAACCTGGCACCGGAAAAACCTCTGTGGAGGTTTAGTCATTATGACAAAAGTCACTATCCAAAATTTATAAATTTTCAGTTTTTCTGTGGAAAAGTCCAAAATTCCCAGATTTTGGCAGTAGACCTGTACTGGGTACATTTGCACTAACATTAGCCATTTAAAAGCTCCTTAGTGCTATTAGAGACAAAAAGGAGAATGCTTCCTTTGAGGAAAGATGCCCCTTAACAAAGGAGAGGAGATACTCTAGAGGAGTTAATCTCTTCCCTTTTGTTCTTGAGTTCTGAGGGGGGCAAAGGCTCAACTTTTGGACGGTGACATTAATCCCACACAAACTGAGCAATGGGCTGTGCCTCACTTGCAGCTCCTGCAACATGGAAGGTTAAAATAAATGGTTGTTCAACTCCAGGCTGTATAGTGCATGACACATTAGTGCTGCTTTTAGCCATCAATATATTGCTATTTAAAGATGAGTGAGATTTTTAAGTCTGATGATTATTCATATTAAAAGTGTTTCTTTTTCATTTGTGATTTTATGCTGTCATGCAGACATCTCCATAATTAAATGTGTGCTCAACTCCTTCTGTCTCCAGTTAAGTAGATATTAATGGGAACCTACCAAAAACAACTGCCAGAAATGTTCCTGCACTTTAATTAAAAAATATTAATATCAAATTACAGTGATGGTAAAAGACCAGTATGAGATCACTAAAGGGAATCAAGGCTGAATGGTTTTGGAATAATCCAAGGTAGTTTGTTCAAACTGCTCTTTTTCTCACAGTTTTTCTATAGTCACAGCAGAGACCTATTCTCTTCAGCATAAGAAGGGGTTTAAAATTAAACACTTTTAAGCACAAAATCTCTCCACTTATAAAAGAGCAGCACTGAATTTTCAAAATCAAAGATCTTAATATTAGGGAGCACCAGAATTCAAGTCAAGTCTGTCTTAGCCTCTCTCTGTCTAATATTGCACACTATTTAATGCCATAATCAAACAGTATTTTTCCTGTGGGAAGAATCACACAATTGAATGGACTATGTTCACTTTGGGAGTAGCTACACAGTATTTCATTTTCCATGTGTGGGATAGGGTTTAATCCAAGCTGGGAGGGAGAGGTCTTACACAAGTCTTGATAATCTGATCTGATCCTTAGTCATTTACAGACCAGCCCTAATCTAACCTGGGCACTGAATGCTAAAATTTTTCTGTGATTCTTTTTGTCTTTAGAATTTTCTGTCCCTACAGTAAGAACAAATCACCTGCTGCAGTGCCTGCAGGAGGGAACTGCCTCACTGAGTAAACAACCATGGCTTGATCCTGCCTTCCCAAGGAGCAGATGGATGCTTGGGAAAACCTGAGCTATAGATGGTGTTGTCTCCATTGACTGGAGATCCCAAAGGTGCTCTTTTTACAGCCAC